TAAGGCATTAAAAGATCAGAGATTGACTTTCATATTCAAAATTATATTAATAATTCATTCAGTGTAAAAATACACCTTGAAGTGTAATTTTACACTTCAGTGGTGTATTTTTCCGATTTACACCAAAATTGTGTAAATTTACACTTATTTGGTGTTCGCTGAACACTTCGAAATTTAGAGTGTACTGTATAGTAACGTACCAGTGTATGGGTCAATATGTACTGTGTGTATACTTTTTAGATTTGTGAACAAATACCATTAGTAAGGGAAATCTTCAGACCCAATACAACATCTGTACTTACAATGCAAAATCCAAATGCGTTGTTGATGCCAGACTTCAGTCCTGCTGGTTCCAATAAAAGGATGAGTGAAACAGCTGTGTATACATTGCTGTGCAAGTATATGAGACAAGTTGCTGGTAAGATTAAATATTTAGTCGAACGGAAAAAATTAAATGTACAGGACCCTATCATTAAATATATTGTGCTATGATATCGCTTTACTACACAAAAACAAGATGCATTGAGGGGATGGACATGCAAGAAAGATATTAGCGAGTTTAAGCTTCGTGTTATACGTCAAACGGCAAACACCAGGAAAAGAAAAAATTATGGTATCAGGCAATAAGGAGTAAATGAATTTGCTGTTTTAAAACTGAAGTACATAATTATTCTTTCGACACAAGAAAGAAAATATGAAATGAAAACGTTCAACGAAAATTTTGCCAAGAAAGTTCAAACCTGCTGTTTGTCGTTTCCAGAAATGTGAAGCTTAAACTCCCTAATTTCAGAATTGTTGTTGATACATATATAATTAGGGTTTATGTGGCAGGATTCGTATAAGTTTGGGAAATCATTAAATTTGGGCCTCACTTTAACACTTTTCGTGACTATTGATTTATGCCTATTTGACTTCTCCTGAAAGAGCTTTTGCTCGAAAAGTATCGAAAACTTTGTGTTGTCTTCTAAGCTCTCGAGTTTATGCTACCCTCAAAGATTGTTCTATGTTAGTGTAGTAGTTGCCAATGATATATATTTCACTATATGGTGATGTGTCATAGTAATAGTTGGGCATGATGTTTTAGAATATAGTTGATAAATAATTTCGTTTGTTAACAGTATTTTATTCACTATCCAAATCTTTGTTAACTAAGGACTCCTTATTCATGTAATATTTTTCTGGAAAACCCAACAATAATATTAATATGTATAATTTTCCCCAAATTAGATTTCTTGTTTATTCTAGCAGAATTCTTCTGGAAGAAGGGGTGATATCACATTGAGTTGGATACTACAGTTTGCCACTTGCCACGAAGAACTGTTGCTGGGTTTCAAGCTTCCACCTTGTATTTAATAAATTTTCAGATGTTACTGATGCTTAACTATGACTCTAAATACATTTTAACATTAAATATATTTAAATATAATGTAAATATAATTTTAGGTGTATCTTTATATTACTATTAGTATTCTACCTTTGTATATTTTAACTTGTTGGAATGTAGGGCAACTGTTGATAGCAGCATTACTTGTAATGCGGAAAGGTTTACCCTACTAAAATAAAGTTTCTCATACTCATACCTTCAATTAAATTTGTCGAAGTGACAACGTCATTCCTTCCAATGGCAAACACCTGTACGAATGTGATGCTGTTACCGTATGCATCGCATAGCGCCTTTCCAAGATAAATTATTTAGTCTTTATGACGAGGCATTCTCTAGTGCACACCTTGGAAACATTTGAGTGCAGTATATTAAACAGAGCACAGAAAGACATTATGCTGTGTATGCTACGCCAAACGTGACAAAATATCAAGTATATATTACTTATATCAAATATATATTACTTATATCAAGTCGTTCGTGTTTTATGTCAAGTGTCGTTATTTTACAATCAAGTCGTTCGTGTTTTATGTCAAGCGTTGTGTTTTTACAATCAAGTTGTTCGTGTTTTATATCAAGTTACATCACATATTTTTATATCAAGTCCATCGTGTATTACATCAAGTATATCACGTTTTTATAAATCAAGTTTCGCGTGTATTTATTTCAAGAAGGGAGAGGAAATATTTTGATCAGAATTCTACATGTTTTGATTCTGGGAGAAGGGGGGGATACGTCCTCGCTTATAATACTGACGGGGGTGCGTCATAATACAAAATGCATAGCCACAGTGGTAGCCATAGTAAATCTTTCAAAATTGGCGGCTTTACACAACCAGTTATTTACACCGAATGTGCCCAAATTTTTTAATAGTTTGCTTGATCTTCTAAGCCAAAGCTCTGCATATTGTATAAGTGGAGACACAGCAGAATTTTGTAGCAGGCGATTGGAAGAATATCAAAGAACATTGCGGGTAATGTACAGAAGATTAGAAGAATATAGAGGAAACTCTTCGCAACAGCTGATTCATGATATTGCACAGCTTATTGACATAATTGGCAGAAGAATTGAAAGGCTTGAAACTTTTTATAATGACGAACAGGTCATAGAAAATGAAAGGAACCAACAATTTAATGTGCTAGGAGACGATATAATGAAGTGTCATAATAATGTTCAATCCTCCTCATTTTAGGCACATAGATGGCGACCACAAACTCATTACACCGTATCGGTTCGTCATACATGGTGGAATTGATGGGTATTGAAGACTGATTGTATACTTAAATGCATCAACAAATAATCGAGCAGACACTGGAGAGGCAACAGCAATATATAACATCCCTTCAAGAGTCAGAAGTGACATGGGTCTGGAAAACATAGATGTTGCGCGATTCATGATACAGACAAGAGGGTGCAACAGAGGAAGCATTATTACTGGGAACTCTGTTCACAATCAGAGAATAGAACGATTGTGGCGGGAGGTCAATCGGATTGTTGTAAGTAGGTTTTTGAACATATTCCTCTTCTTAGAAAACAGAGGAGTTTTTATCCCAACAGATGAAGTACACCTTTACTGACTTCATATTGTTTATCTCCCGTTAATCAATGCAGCGTTAACAGAATTTGTGGCTCAGTGGAATGACCACCCAGTCACTACTGAAACCAATCTTAGCCCATGCCAAATGTAGACAGAAGGGATGTTACAACTGAGGAATTCCAACCTAACAGCTGTCCGAGACATTGTCGATGGTGTACCTAATAATGTAGAAGATTTTGGGATTGAAGAAGAAGGGCCAGTTCCTACTTCACATCCTGATTTAGTGAGTGTTCCACAGTCCACTGTAGAAGTATCCTATGAGCAAGAGACAGCAATTCAACAAGCAATCGCTGCAGTACCCCTGGATGAAAATGGAATTACTTCGTATCTTACAGCACTTTCGGCATTTGAGAGGTTAATTGAGTAATAATTAACAATGGCATTACAGCTATGTTGCTGCATTATCTGCACTACATACTATAATTGGTCATCGATAGCATCTGATAACAGGTGTGAGAACTTATCATCACATATATGGTTTGTATAGACAAGATACCCATTTTATCAGGATTTGGGGCATGTCACTCAAAACAACTAGACGTCGAAGAGTTGTTGTAGATAGAAAATTTCAATTGATTTTATAGTGACATTTTTATACCTAACCATATTACAGTATATCTACAATACTCTTTTAGGACAGTTAAGAATGTGCGTATCAATTATCAATTAAAAACAAATATTAACATACAATTTCATTTAAAAAAGTTCAAAAGTTGCAGTCACTTGATTGCATGATAAACTCAACAATGCGTGGTGACTAAGCACCTCACGTTATTTTGTTCAATATGAACAAATGAAAACCAAGAAACACAAACATAGAAAACTACTGTTAGTTTGCTATACATTACAATTAGTTTTACATTTTGTCCCAAATCAAGTTTCCAAACCTAGCCCCTTCCATAGCCATGGCGCTGGCACGAAATGGCAGTGTTCATTGCTTTTTTGACTTCCTGGTAGGTGCCATGACCGATTGGCAAAACAATGCTGAAAAAACGTCTGCATCTGGATAAAACCCTGAAGTAAAAGAAATTGCTGGCACTGACGATGGAAGATATGGATGTCCAGCCATAAACTGCATGAGCTGCCCCAGGGATGGAAGACAACTTAGGGTCTCATTGCTGGAACAAGCTTGATCATCATTGGACATTCCTAGGTGCACAAAATGACAGCTATAATTAATGTTAAAACCATGTCTGGGAATTAAGGTTTCTTATTCAGAAGAGCTTTAAAAAAGTGCTTTACACCCATTGGTCCCTAAATGTTTACCTATTTAAGGGGGTGGGTTCAAAGTTGTTATTAGCCAATTAGTTTATCAAGTTATTTACAATTGTACTTTCAAACATGTAACAAGACGTAAAAGTATCTGTGGTTCTGATTTCATATCATGAAAAAATTATGGTCGGCAGGTTGGAAATAATTTTTTTTTGAATATCTGTTCATGGTTTTGGCGGTTTTTTCCTGGGCAATTTGCAGTAGAGTCCCAACATCAATATTAACTAGAGATGCATATTTCCTATGGACGAATTCAGGCAATTTGGTTCAATAATAGTAGCAAGTGACGTTTTTGACAACACGAACGGCATGAGTAACGCCAGAAGACTGGGTCAAGGGCTGTGATTGGTGAAAACTAATTGCCAACGTCTGTGTTGTCAAAAACATACCTGTCACGTTTTAGGAAGAGTTACTATTTTAAAATTTTTAATTTTGTATTCTTTTGTATTTTAAACTTAACCCCAATCCTAACCCTTACTCCAAGCCTAATCTTAATCATAACCCTAATTAATCCTTTCCCTAATCCAAATCCTAAGTCTAAAAATAGTAACTGTTCCTAAATCGGGACTTGTATGCAGTCGGGAACCGGAACCACAGGTATTTTTTTCACTGAAGTTGTACCTGCATTGCCCTTTTCAATTTCTATCACATACTGTGTAAACCACTTCATCACAGCATCTTCAGTTCCACGAAGACTTTGAAGCCAGCTTTTATTAATTAAGTTGAAAAAATCTGAACTTGTAACTGTAACTTCTTTTTCCAATGGGAAGATGTAGCTCACACAGCTTTCACAAACTTGTAAAAATTGCAAAAGGGAGATACTTTCCAAACCAATCTTAAGTTGTTGCAGCTCCTCTCTTCGAGTTTTAAATACAACATGAATAATGATGCACTGACAAGCTCTGTGCTTGTTAGTAAGGCTAACAAGCTCATTTGTGAATCCAGCTTGCAATAACAACAGAAGGACATCATCCTTTTCAAGTACTGCATTTAATTCCTCTTCACTTTGTGCATCCTGCATCTGAAGAAAATTACAAATATACACATCATCTTAAACCTGACATACAATACAACCTTCCACATTTTTAACAATTGTTAACCCCATTAAGTTGCATGGCACCTTAATGCCCATTAATGAATTTGCTCATCACAAGTTTTGTACTGCTGCTCAATCGGTTAATCAATCTAGACTGTCTAGTCATGTCTAGTAAACAGCTAAACGCATTAAAAAGTGCACCATAATACACCCTACTTTACTGTCTAACACCGGATTATTTTACTCTGTCTAACGCCAGAAGATTTTACTGATCAATGTGAAAGTGCTAACACTCAATGGGTTAAAAGCAATTGCACTTTTTTAATTAAAGCATTCGACAGTATTTTTATGGGATTAGAGATGATGAAATCATAATAATGGTAAGCACTAATCTCAAGCAATAAGAGTGCCTTATTTTTAAACTAGAAATCCCTTTTTCCACTTCAACAGTGTTGCAACGTTTTCTTTTCTATCGAAGTCATCAGTGACACACTAGTGCTCAGGAAACAAAGAAATATGCTTTGGTACGGAACGATTGAAGTAAAAAATGGCTTTAATTAATTAAATGTGTTACATTGAGCATGAACGTGCTTGCAGCAGACAACAACTCCAGTAACAAGAGACCGCTATTGTGGTGTCTCTTATTAGTTATTACACATGAGACAGTCAGACTGACAATTAGTTTAATTAATCAATGTTTGGCAGTGTAATGAGTGTATGCACAAAAATATTGCTTAATTAATTACCTGCTTAACACTTTCTTGTATATTTTAATCTGAGATATCTTCAACAGACAAATTGACTAAACAACTATCAATGTCATCAGTCATAAGATATTGGACAATAGCTCTGGACAGTCCTACCAATCCAAATCCTGCATGGATGACCGAGTGGGCAATCAATTTGCCTGCATATTCAAAGTATTTTGATGCTACAAACTCTTCACTGTGGATAGGTATTAAATGATCAACCACCCCTTCAAATAGCCGAATTCCACCATTTCCATCTCTCATAGTAGCCATAACGATATGACAAAGTTCCCTTGTAAGTCCATCAGCATCAATCCCCGGTTCATTTAAGAAGGTAACATTAGGTTTTGCTTTCACGTTAAACTGTCCACATTTCAGCAGGCGAAACATTGCCTTTAATATGCTACTGGAGTCATGGGTTGCTCTAATTGTTTGTTCAGGAACACTGCTATCAACCGCATTTGCCCTGAACGTAGCCAATGCTTGTAATGGTGGTTTTACAGAAATATTCAGTGGAAGGTCATATACTACGTCTTCTTGGGCACCTAACAGAAAAAATTTATTTCAGCATTTTGCGATACACCAGAGGAGGCCCTTCGCTTACGGTGGCTTCCCACTGTTTTTTTAGCAAGAAATGTTCTATTGTTGGAAAAAATATTTCATTTCACCTGAATTATCATTGTCATCACCCAGTATGATTGAGATTGTCTTAGTTATATTGCAACCAGAATCACGATATTCTCTAGTCAATTGATCTCTAGACATATGGGGAAACATCGAGACCAGCTGGTTGATACATACATCAAGTCAGGAAAAATTGTATTCTATTAAATTTTACATGTCCTACACAGAAAAAAAATGTTGCAACACGTAAGGTCGATGGAATATTGGTGCAAAACACATGGCAAAAAGGCTGACAATTATAATAGGGGGGGATGACACACACCCCTAAAAACATCTTGTCGGCAAAATAACGGATTTATTGGCAAATTGTTTTCGTAGTCAGTGAAAATATTTGAGTGTCTTGGATTAAAAAGTAATAGTTATAGCAAAATTTTTGATAAATTTATCAACGTATTACCAGAAAATTTAACAAATCACAGTATGTCTAGCAGGTTTTTTTCAGGATTTTCTCTTGGGCCGTTTTTGCAGAGAAGATTGAGTTTAGCTGAACAGCTGGGGTGTCTGAGTTTTTGGGGCCGTTTGACGACCCTAAAAAATCCCTGAAAAAAACCCTGGTCTAGAATTTTTTTACTACTTCCTCTAGTCTCTAACCCTCGCATTCTACATATCTTCAAATCGTTCTTAAATCATAATATTAAATAGGTTACCAAACAGAATAAAACAAAAACAAAACATGCTTCATGGCATATATCAGGTTCATATTATAGTTGTTGATCAATAATCAAATGTCAATCAATATAATTAGTTCCTCATAGATACCGTTGACTTATTGTCATGCATGATTGATGTGTTCCACTTGCTTAGTTCAATGGATATATAAAATGGATCCATAAAAACTTGAGTGAAATTTTTTGCATAGAAGTATGTCACTTAAAGTGGCATGATCAACCACAATACAATGCAAGCTTTTGTTTACATTTTTCAGTTACTTTCCTCAATAGTTGCCGCCATTTTCGAGGCCATGAAAATGGCTGCTTCTGGCCCACAATGTAAACAAACATATGTATACGACCCGATTAATTTTTTTTTTACATTTGATTTTGACCAATTTAATGAGGACTGGTAAGTAGATACAATAAAATATATAAAAAATTAAACAATGTTAGAGTTCCATTCAGAAAGTTCCATATCACTGGTAGACGGTGGTGAAACTTTCCTCTATGTTCGACTTCCTCGCAAACAAAGAATTTGAGCTTGAAGCAGGGCAAATGCAATCTTTCTCCTTAGCCAGTTAGTGGTTACAGAGGGGTTGAAATTCTTCTTTGGTGGCTAACTTCTCTGCCAAAGACAAAAGGAAATGATGGGTTTCTCTACCACATCCACCATAGGCGCTAAATACAATTGGTGTGAAGGAGCCATGCTCGACCTGGACTATGCACTGGTACTGGTTGTAATGTCGCTTCTTTTCTCTTTCGTTCGCGTTGAAAGAACTGGTAAGGCTCTGGCGTTTATGTGTTGAGGCATAAGGATTAAAAACCCGGACATCAAAGAATGCCTTTTCACATCTTTACCAGAAGCCCCTCGCGGCAATGTCAACTCTGGCGTCATCAGCGGAGTTTGCACTTGGCGGAAGCACTTCGCCGGTCAAGGGAGCCAAGGCTGGTTCCGTCGAAACATTGTATGCGA